TAGAAATAGAAAAGAATTTCATTTTAAAAATCTTCCTTTCTTCCATTTCACCATGACCAAAGAAGGAACCAGACGGCCCAGCATCCCCTCTTCCCCATTTCCATTGCCTGGGCACTGCTACCTCGCCTCTCAGTGGCCCATCGCTCCCACAAACCGCTTCGCCTACAGCAGCCGGGGTGGCGCACCGCCTACTCATTTCAGCCATTGCTTTGCTCCAGCTCGACCCTCTGTTTGCACACCTTGCACGCACAGATATGTTTCCTCTCAACTCATGTCGTGGGACCCGCTCATCAACAGCACAAGCCGCATCTTGCATGAAGCAAGTTCTTCTCCTCGCTGCAAGCCGGGACCCGCCCGTCGGCGTCACTCCTCCTTCTCACTGCGCTGCCGGTCCCAGCGTGTCAGCGCCTCCTCTTCCTTTCCTTTCTTCCCCGACACCTTCCTTCTTCACCGCCGGCGCGCGCTAAACACGGACAAGCCACCGCCGCCATCTCTCCCATAAGCGGCGACCGAATCCTGCCCAGCGCCTCTGCTCCCCTTTCCTTCTACGCCACGATCGCCCATCTATAAAGCCGAGCCGAGCCCGTCTTCTCCCGTTCCTGGCCGCGCTCGAGCCCTTTCGCAACCGCCGCCGGCGAACTCCCCCTCCCCGAGCACTAACCCCGTCGTCGACGAGTCCCGAGGATCCGCCGTACTCGCCCGCGCCCGTAGGTACCTCCCCCTCGTCGTTTTGGTGACGCCATGTTCGGATTTCAACTCACCCGTGCCCTCCCTCTCTCTCCGGCCGCCATTGCCGCCGACGACTTCGCCGGAGGCCTCCCGGACGCCGCAACCACCTCCAGACGCATCACGGTGAGCTCCTCGTCCTACCTCTGCCCTCCATTTCTCGAATCATGCACTGGAACGCAGTAGCACCGAGCGTCCAGGCACGCCGGCCATGGCGCCGCCATCGTGTCTGTCTTCCCCGGCGACCCGCTGCCCCCATCGCGCCAGCACCGTCGGATGTAGCACGGACGATCTAGATTAGATGTACCCCTTTGCTGTGTAACCGGTCCACGGTGAACCATGGACCCGGTCCACCCCGCCGCGTCAGCACGCGTCCACTGCCACATGGTGCACCTCACCCATCAGAAGCCACCACGTGTCGACCCGTCAGCAGCCACGCATTAGCCCAGTCAGCGTCGCAGTCAACCCCCAGTCAAAGCCATGCGTATTTTGCAGAAAAGCCCCCACGTTTTCAAGTAAATAACCCACAGTCCAGATTAGTTCAAAAGAATTGCATATCAGTCCTGATTTTATTCACTTTAGACCCTGTATTTTCCAGAATTAGTATGCCCAGTCCAAAATACATTTAAATTCAGATTTTTAATTGTTTTAAATCAAATTTGAGTTCAAATATTTACAGGAATGCCACTGAACCTTATTTCATGCGTAACTTTTGCGTTTTAAGTCCGATTTGATCCATTCAAATTGCGTTAGGATCGTATTTACGTATTCTACATGTTTATACAACTGTTAGGCATGTTTTCAACACTTGAAATTCAAGAGTAGATTTAATCTATTAATTAACCAAAGTAAAACTTGTTTAAATTGTAACTTATTTATTTAAACTCCGAAATAGTCCGTACAAGTTGCGTTTGTTTCGTAACGATGAGATCTACGCACTAGTAATGATGTTTACTACATTACTATTCCATAAAAATCATAGTTTAAATCATATCTTGATTCTTGATTAAGCAATGGGTTTATACATAAAATATGATTTGTTTTACTTTTGTTTTATAATATAAATCTAAAATTGACTTGATTCAATCCATATTGTTTATAAAATATCCTTTGTATATGAATTCATATAGTTAACATAAATGAAGCCTATAGTTTCTTTTTCTACGTATAAAGCAAATCTCTCGGTAGTTGTAGTTTTTCAACCATAGCTCCGATTAGAGTGCTTCTCGCGACTGTGTGTTCGTAACGATGCGTAGAACCATGTTTCAATCTCTTTTACTTATTTTTCTATGATTGGTGTACTGTTCTGATATAGATGCAACTGTATGCTATGCATGTATGTGTATGGATGTTTGTGTGGTGTTCTACGATTGTCCAGTCGGTGAGATATACGTGGTGATCCAGAAGAAGAAGAAAGACATCAAAGAATAAAGCTTACCGAAGGATCGGTGTGTAAGGCAAGTATAGCATGGGACCATCCTTGTTACCTATCCATATATAATCACTTAATTCATATTGCATGTGTCTACCTTGTTACCAATAAGGATATCCTAGATATTTGATATCTTGCACCTTGACACCTTTGGGATATTGCATTGGATAGTTTTTGCTAGTGCTTAATCAAAACCATGATCTTGTAACTTGACTAATGATATATGCAATAAACATTAAAACATGACTTTTTTTAGTAACATGGAAATAGGGGGCTGGAGTGTTTAGCTACTTTCTAAATGCTCTAGATTCCTCTCCCTAAGGACTTATCTGTAAGCGATCATCCAGGACTTACAGTACAGCTGTGAGGGCCATATGGCTCTGGCTTTAGCTCAGTATGAGGACCTTTTCTAGCTTGTTAGCGGTTACCTTTATGGCGCAAGAGGGGCTCCAATGGGTATGATCTCGATGCATGAAGTAGGTGTATTTGCTAGTCACTACTTGGAGAGGGTTCATGCTTATTGATGGGAAAACCTTAGCGGCCCTAACTTGTTAGATTTAACCTTTGAAAGGCATCATAGTGAACCTGCCGACCTTCCTTGGTAGTGGGTCAAGAGGCTGATCACCTCGGGCGAAAGGGTAAATCACGACTCACAGTGAACGTGTACAAACTCTGCAGAGTGTAAAACTATTATAACAGCCGTGCTCACGGACATGAGCGACCTTGGACCCTTATGGAATAGAGATGATGATCACTAATGGATAATGGTTCTAATGATTAATTGTTTATGCTATACATTATTCATATTTACCGATCAGGTGTTTAAGGGAATGATAAATCCTTTGCTACTCAATTGCTTAAAAGATGATCTATTAAAGCTAATCGTAGTAAACCGATTATCGACCCTTTTGAGCCTCATGAACCCCATGATGTAATTGTTAAGTCGACATGTACTTACACTTGCTTTATTTTCTATACATTGGATAAAAATCCCGGATGGGTACCAGATTGCTTTGGTTTTGGAGGAGTTAGGCTTGTGGTCAACCATCGATTCGTCCTGTGAATTTGGAGTCTTAAGCTAGAAGATCGAGTCAACTTTCCGCTATCTTTACTCTGAGGTTATTTTCTTTTTACTAATCGTTATGTAATAAGTATTGTCTCTTGATATTACCCTTATTTGTGGCTATATGTGAGAATTGACTTCCTGGGCTCACATATAGTGTGTATCTGGTTTTATCTTTAAAACCGGGTGCTACAGAGCTGCTGCATGAGGAGGACGCCGCTGAATGTTTGACGTGGAGGCGATCGACTACTCTACTTCGATGCGGTGATCGACTATACTGCTCTGACGCACCTCATCAACTTCCGCATCTGCACGTCTAGTGGTAATCCCGTGATCTGTAACAACTGTGTTCCTGTTTTATGTGGTAGAAATAATTTTTGTGCTAGTGTAGCCTACCTCATATTGCTACAGAGGTATCAGAGCCGATGCTGTTTTGTTATGGATTCAGGATGTGTGCATATGGAGATATGCGTGGTTGTAGATGAGTCTCTAATCATGGTTCGTGATTTTACCGTGTTGGTATTGTAACGATCTACTCGTACCGGTAGGAATTCCGCCATCCGAGTTAAGTGATACATGTAAATCCAGTCATGGCAAGATGGAGATCAATCAGATTGATCGAATTGAACTTAGGTCAAGTGCCGAGTGCATGTGATGTGCAGCGGTGATAGATTGGATCTACTGCCGGGCGTCGGGGTGCAAGAAAAAGTGTTGTTCGGTAAAACAGCCATAACTTTTGCATACGACCTCGGATTGAGACGAATTTTATATGAAAATTGATCTACAGAAAAAATTACATCCGATTCTCACCCCCTTTGGTGGTTTCGCTGAAATTAGATTTGCAAAAAATGGCCGGGAAGATGGTGTTTTCGGCGTTTTAAGATTAGACGTCGGAATCGGTTAACTCTGTTTTGCAGGAATTTAAGACTAGTATAGCCCTTATGGGTATGTGATGCATGTATGTAATTAATTCATGGCTTGCATGTCGTGAGTATGACAATATGGCTGGAGCCACAAAGATATTGTCAATTTGATGTAATGGCCTGCGTGCCAAACTGTGATGATCCTATCCGCGACTATGTAATCTTCTTCACTGCCTTGCGTTAGTGATAGCTAGTCTTGGTGGACTCATCTCTGAAGGATGGTATACATGGATCATGGAGATGGAGATCATCATGAGGAACAGTTCGATGGAGATCCCCAAAGGAACAATGGGCTATACCATGTCATATCTGTGTTAATGTCGTTCTTACTATATTCTACTTTCACGTGCGATAATGTTTTGTCTACATGCGATGGTGAAGTAGAACGATCCCTTGGAAATGTTTAAGTTAAAATGCCTCCCCAAACCTTGCACTGTCATGTGTCTTGTACAATCGGTGGTGGGTCTATGAAATTAGGGTGCCACTGGTTTTCCTTGACTAGACAGGTTTGTATCGGATACTTACACGCATAAGGGTTGGTTTGCTTAACAAGGTCATCTTAACGGTTAAGGACTTTGGGGCATGAAGGTTGGGCACTGAGACATGGAGATGTCACCCAACAATAGGAGTCATATGTGATATGATTAGCAAAGAGTTGCTTACCGATCTACCTTGACTGCTAGCGGTGATGCTAAAGCTCACTAGTAGACTTGTTAGTTGTGGATCCTGAATCACTAAGTATCAATAGAGGGACATTGATTTTAGTGGGAGTAGAGTCTGTTAAAAGTTTAATGTGATTTACTCTATCATGGATACTTTTATCTCAGTATTTTGCATTATTATTTGTTGTAGATTAATGGCACCTAGCAACAACACACTGTTTGCTTTGTGTTCAGTTCTTGAGAAGGACAAGTTGAATGGAACAAACTACACGGATTGGATCCGTAACCTGAGAATTGTTCTCAGGGCTAATAAAAAGGAAGATGTTCTAGACACCCCATTACCAGAAGAACCTGCTGATGATGCACCAGTTGCCATTAAGAATGCTTACAAGAAAGCATGTGATGCTAATCTCGAAGTAAGCTACCTTATGCTTGCTTGCATGGAACTCGAACTGCAGATGCAGTTTGAAACAAATCATGCGGCGTACGATATGATCGTGGCACTTAGAGACATGTTCCAGACATAGGCTAGGACTGAATGATTCAATGTGTCTAAGGCTTTTGTGGAAAGCAAGCTAGCAGAAGGCATAGCAGTAGGGCCACACGTAATCAAGATGGTTGGTTATGTTCAACGGTTGGAGAAGCTAGGCTTCCCACTGGGCCAAGAGTTGGCCACTGATTTCATTCTTTCATCTCTTCCGCCTAGCTATGGGAACTTCATCTCGAACTACCATATGCATAGGGCGGAGAAGGGTCTGAATGAACTATGCAGCATGCTTAAAACAGCAGAGGGTGACATTAAGAAAAGCGCTGGAAGCAGCCATGTGATGGCAATACAGAACAAGCCTAGCTTTAAGAAGAAGGGCAATTCTTGGAAGAAGAAGGGCAAGGCTGTGAATTCTAAGCCAAACCCAGCGCCCAAGGTTAAAGCTGGACCTGCTCCAGACAAAGAGTGCTTTTATTGTCATGAACTTGGTCACTAGAAGAGAAATTGCAAGCAGTATCTGGCTTCGTTGAAGAATGGTGGAAGTAAGAGTACTTCCACCTCAGGTACGCTTGTTATTAATGTTATAGACAACATATTTCTCGCTGATACAATTATTAATTCTTGGGTATTTGATACCGGATCGGTTGCTCATATTTGCAATTCGATGCAAGGACTAATAAAAAGTAGAAGCGTTGAAAGAGGAGAAGTTGATTTCCACGTGGGCAATAATGCAAGGGTTGCTGCGTTGACCGTCGGGACGATGCAACTCCGCCTCCCGTCAGGATTTATCATGGAGTTGAATAATTGTTATTTCGTTCCAAGTTTAAGTCGAAACATTATGTCTCCTTCATGCTTGATGAAGGATGGTTATTCATTTGCGAGTGAAAACAATGGTTGTGTGATCTCTAAGAATAATATGTTTATGGCTTTTGCACCCATTGTGAATGGATTGTTTGTTTTAAGTCTTGATGATTCACCTATCTATAATATAAGTGCTAAAAAGCCTCGGCTTAATGAGTTAAGTCCTACCTATATGTGGCATTATCGTTTAGGTCATATAAGTGAGAATCGCATGAAGAGGCTCCATTCTGATGGGCTTTTAACTTTGTTTGATTTTGAATCATATGAGACATGTGAGGCTTGCCTGCTGGGCAAGATGACCAAGACACCTTTCACAGGTTTCCCTAAGAGGGCGGCAGACTTGCTAGAACTCATACATACTGATGTGTGCGGACCAATGAGTACGACAGCAAGAGGCGGATTCCAATACTTCATAACCTTCACTCATGACTTTAGTAGATATGGCTATATCTACTTAATGAAACATAAGTCTGAGACATTTGAAAAGTTCAAGGAGTTTTAGAGTGAAGTAGAGAATCAACGTGGCAAGAAAATTAAGGCTTTGCGATCTGATCGTGGAGGCGAATATTTGAGCCACGAGTTTAGCAATCATCTAAAGAGTTGCGGAATTGTTCCACAGCTTACGCCACCTAGAACGCCTCAGAGAAATGGCATGTCCGAGCGACGTAATTGGACTCTGTTGGACATGGTTCAGTCTATGATGAGCCAGTCAGACCTACCATTATCATTTTGGGGATACACTCTAGAAACAGCCGCTTTCACATTGAATAGGGTACCGTCTAAGTCTGTAGTTAAGACACCATATGAGATGTGGACTGGTAAGAGTCCTAGTTTGTCTTTTCTAAAAATTTGGGGTTGTGAAGTTTATGTCAAATGACTTATGACAGATAAACTAACACCCAAGTCAGACAAATGTTTTTTTGTGGGATATCCAAAGGAAACTTTAGGGTATTACTTCTACAACCGATCAGAGGGCAAAGTGTTTGTTGCTCGGAACGGTGTTTTCTTAGAGAAAGAGTTTCTCAAAAGAGAGAAAAGTGGACAGAAGGTGTATCTTGAAGAAGTTCAAGATGAGCCAGTTAGGAAGGCCTCTACGAGTGATGCTAATGTAGCAGAACAAGTTCATATACCCGTGGCAATAGAAACACCACCACAACCACGAAGATCAGCAAGGATCCATGAGTTGCGTGGGGATTTGTTATTGTTAGACGATGACGAACCTGCTACTTATGCAGAAGCAATGATGGACTCAGATTCTGAGAAATGGCAAAGTGCCATGAGATCCGAGATAGATTCCATGGGAAGCAATCAAGTTTGGAACTTGGTTGACCCGCCTAATGGGGTTAGACCCATAGAGTGCAAATGGATCTATAAAAAGAAAAAGGATATGGATGGAAACGTTCACGTCTATAAAGCTCGACTTGTTGCAAAGGGTTTTCGGCAAGTTCAAGGAATTGACTACGATGAGACTTTCTCGCCGGTAGCGATGCTTAAATCTATCCGGATCATTCTAGCAATAGCTACTTATTTCAATTATGAGATATGGCAGATGGATGTTAAAACAGCCTTTCTAAATGGAAATTTGGATGAGGACGTGTATATGATATAGCCCGAAGGTTTTGTTGATCCAAACAATGCTGGAAAAATTTGCAAGCTTCAGAAATCCATTTATGGGTTAAAGCAAGCATCTCGGAGTTGGAACATTCATTTTGATGAAGTGGTCAAAGGGTTTGGCTTCCGTCAGAATGAAGAAGAACCTTGTGTTTACAAGAAGGAAAGTGGGAGCGTTGTTGTATTTTTTATCTTGTATGTGGATGACATATTATTGATTGGGAATGACATTCCTATGTTGCAATCCGTAAAGACTTCACTGAATAATATTTTTTCTATGAAAGATTTAGGAGAAGCAACATACATTTTTGGCATCAAGATCTATAGAGATAGATCGAAGAGGCTTATAGGATTAAGCCAAGATACGTACATTGACAAGGTGTTGAAACGGTTCAACATGGAATAATCCAAGAAAGGGTTCTTGCCTATGTCACATGGTATGCGCTTTAACGATAAACAGTGTCCTTTGACATCTGATGAGCGGAAGCACATGAGTAAGGTTCCATACACCTCAGCAGTTGGTTCCATCATGTACGCCATGATATGTACTCGCCCAGATGTCTCATATGCTCTAAGTGTTGCGAGCAGATACCAAGCTGATCTAGGAGAGAGTCACTAGACACTTGTTAAAAACATTCTTAAGTACTTGAGAAGGACTAAAGATGTGTTCCTAATCTATGGAGGTGAGGAGGAGCTCGTTGTAAATGGTTACACCGATGCTAGCTTCCAAACTGACACGGATGATTCACAGTCTCAATCAGGTTTTGTGTTCACAATAAATGGTGGTGCTGTAAGTTGGAAAAGTTCCAAGTAGGAGACGATGACAGATTCTACAGCAGAGGCCGAGTACATTGCAGCTTCTGGAGCTGCGAAGGAAGGTGTTTGGATGAGGAGATTCCTCATTGAACTTGGTGTGTTTCCGAATGCGTCCAGCCCAATGAATCTACATTGTGACAACAATGGGGCAATTGCGCAGGCTAAGGAGCCAAGGAATCACCAAAAGAACAAACATGTACTGCGGAAATTTCACCTTATTCGAGAGTTCGTTAGACGAGATGAAATCAAGATGTGCAAGATACACATAGATTTGAATGTTGCAGATCCTTTGACAAAGGCTCTTCCACAGCCTAAGCATGAGGCACACATGAGAGCTATGGGTATTAGATATCTTCTAGACAGACTCTAGTGCAAGTGGGAGACTGTTGGAGATATGCCCTAGAGGCAATCATAGAGATGATGATATTCCATTGTATCCATGTTTCATATTGTGTTCCTTGAATATCCATTAAAGGCTACTTGAATTGATTTGCAATTATGTGAATTGTATGTGAAACTCTTTACTTGTATGGTTATTCTAAAGTTGTCCCTAGTCGGAGTTCATGTGAGGACACACATGAATATTAGACTAGTACATGTATTAGCTGATTACTATGTTTCACAAGTCATGGACATGAAGATGTCAAACTAATAATGTGGGCACATGTACAGACATGTGCTAGGACTGACCCAACACGAGATATAGTTACATAGTTCTCTTTACACAACGTGTACGCTTTGTCCTTAGACCTGAGATCGTTGCATGCACTCAAGATGTGAATTGACTTACTTAGGGGCTGTCAAACGCTACTCCATAACTAGGTAGTTATAAAGGTAGCTTTCGGGTTTGTCAGGAAGCATGCTGTGAGGCATGATCAGTCAAGATGGAATTTGCCCCTCTCTACTTCAGAGAGATATCTCTGGGCCCCTCGAGTGATCGAATCCGGAAATGCATGGCTATGCTATGTGAGGTTAAGAGTTAACCTAGAAGGGGATTTTGAATCATAGGATCGAGAAAGAGAGGTCGGCTTGGAGCTAGACCAAATATCATGAGGCAAAGGGAATAGCATGTACATGATGTTGTGATGGTTCGTCTGATATGATCTTCGTGTGCGTATAGGAGTTGGCATGTCTTGCTAGAGGCCGCTACCAACTATTGGCCGAGTAGAAGTACTCACGTCATGTCTATACGTATGTGAACCTATAGGGTCACACAGTTAAGGGGCTGGAAGCCCAATGAGGATCTGATCCGAATTGGACCAAGTTTAGAAGTACTAATGGGCCTCGGACCTAGAGGCCTATCAGGGACTTCTATATATTGAGGGTTAGGGGTGGCTTAGGGTTTGGACCCTTTTGGCACAGCAGTTGCTGCCCCATCTTCCACACCTAGTAGCTGTTCATCTCCCAATCCCTCACCGAGTTGCACTCGCAGATCTAGCAGTCCGGTTTGCGATGCCTCCTCCCTACACATGTGGATACCTTGGAGGTGTTGCATCTGCAACACTTGGACGAGCCGCTGCATGAGGAGGACGCCGCTGAACGTTTGATGTGAAGGCGATCAACTACTCTACTTTGACACGGTGATCGACTATACTGCTCTGACGTGCCTCATCAACTTCCGCATCTGCGTGTCTAGTGGTAATCCCGTGATTTGTAACAACAGTGTTCCTATTTTACGCGGTAGAAATAATTTTTGTGCTAGCATAGCCTACCTTGTATTGCTACAGTCCGGTCACCTGGTCTAGAGGAGAAGCAGCCTGGGTAGCACAATCAAACACTGGAGCGGTGGAGCGATCGAACACCAGGTGAACACTGTTCACACGTCTGGCCTTGGCTTTGAGCCACACGCGCGGCAGAGAGACAGGGACCGGACGCTAGGACACGTCAGGTCATCTTCGACCGGGCATGTCCGGTCTTGATTTCTATGCTCTGGAACCTTACTAGACTTGATCGGATGTGCCATGTACATGAGTTCGGTCGATTCTGTTTGTGCGTCCGGTCACACTTTAACTTTGCGAGTACATGGACTTAACCATTGTAGATCAACGTGCGATGTTTGAAGGCGAGACACGTGGATGGTCAAGAGTGACTGGACTCAGGCTGACTGGACACTAGGTTTCATCAGGTCGATGCGTCCGGTCAAACCCCCGGCAGGCAACGGCTAGTTGAGTCCTTAGGGCTCTATAAATAGAAGTGGCATGGCTTGGGCTCACCCTCTTGCACATTTTCACTTGTGATACATCCTTGTGAGCCTAAGAAAACACCTCCCACTCATCTCCATCATTGATTCATCATCATAGTGAGACTGGGAGTGATTCCAAGTGCATTTGCTTGAGTGATTGCATCTAGTGGCACATGGGGATCATTGTGGCTGCGGATTTCTTGTTTCTCTTGGTGGTTGCTGCCACCTAGATGGCTTGGAGCAGCGGAGAAGCTTCGGCACATGTTGGTGATTGTTCATGGCTGGCTCTGGTGATTGTGAGGGGTCTTGTACCTTCCCCAGTGGAGAGCCAAAAGCTAACTCTAGTCGATTGCTCGTGTGATTGAGTTACCTCACATGTGGGTAGGTTCTTGTGGTGTCCAATTGTGTGGACGAGGTTCATGCAACACCTCTTAGACTCAAAACCACCAAGTGTTGGTCGACATAATGGGGACAAGCGTGCCGGCAAGCACATGAACCTCGGGAGAAAAATCATGTGTCTCTTGTGTGATTGGATTTCTCTTGGTGATTGGTTGTCATCATATTGTGATTGGTTCATTCCTCAGCGTGGCGGTATAATCATGCTACTCACTCCATTACTTACTTGCAAACTAGTTGTAGCAAGCTCTTTAGTGTAGCTAGTTTTGAGAGCTTGCTTTGTAACTTAGTTTCATCTTGTGGAGCTCTTTAGTGTAGCCTTGTTGAGAGCTCTTAGTAAGTAGTGACTTAGCTCTTGTGTGTGCCTAGTGATTATAGCAACTAGAATTGTTGGGATAGGTGGCTTGCAACCCTTGTAGAGCTAGAGCCAATTTGCATTACGCCGTTTGTCATACTAATCAATTGCTCTAGTGATCTTGTAGATTTTTAAATAGACTATTCACCACCCCTCTAGCCATATTAGGACCTTTCACCTATGCACTCACCCTCCTCCTCCACATATTGAATCACATGGAAGTGCGAGGAGGCTATCGAATCGAACGCCAAGCGAGCCTCACAAAACTTATGGATGCTAGGCGGCAGTACCTTAAACTTCTAGGTTGCTAGATTATAGATGACATAGCGGTATCCAGTAGTAGCCCCAAGGCACCAGCATAGGATGAGGCCATTGCAGGAATCTAAGAGAGCTACATTGTCAATGAGGAAGGGCCAGAAGGACAAGTCAGGGCGTTCATCGGTGATGCTGGTGAAGTTTTGAATGCCGTTCTCGACGTCGTAGAAGAAGCCGGCCATAGTCTGGGGCAGCACCTTACGGTTGTTTGAGATGTGGCTGTTCCAGGAGCGACAGACACATTTGCAGCACAACAAGGAGCGGGTGGGGAGGCGGCGGAGGATCTCAAGAATGACATCCTCTATGAGGCTGACCAGTGTGTTCCTCTTGCTAGGGGCCTCCTCCATTTCATAGAGCCTGCGATCGTCAGTGTGCAATAGGATGAGAGCTTCCTTACTAATGAGATCACTAAGATCTTGTTTGGATCAATCCACATGTGTTCGGGTGGATTGAAGTGGATCTTGATCTAAATTTTACAGCAATCCACCTCAATACATGTGGATTGAGATGAATCTGACAACATCCAAACAAGGCTTAAAGAGGAAAATAATCTGACGGAGATTCATCATTGAAGTGTGAAAGCATACCTTGCCTTTGGATCTGGCGGCAGCGTGATGCGAGGCGTGCACACAAATAGCAAGATAGAAATAATGGACCAGCCATGTGGGAGGTGGCGGTGGCCGGCTGGCCTTATTAGGGCTTTAGTCCAGATGAAGGGTCTAGATTCAATACACACTAATGGATGGCACAGATTTTGAGCATCAACCATCACCGTATGAACGTCCCGGCGGTTGTAACACCACCATAATGCACTGACGTTGACTTCAGATCACCGTTAGCTACTAGGAGGCGTGCATGAGTACATGGAAGTCAGAGTGCTTGGTGAAGATTTCGTTACCCAAATACCCTCGCACATGTAAACGTAGGATACACCGAATGCTCGAAACAAGTCACCGTTAGTTACTAGAAGAACTAGTGCCATTTGATCTAATACCACACATGTGCACCGTTTGATACGCCTACTTACCTAAACCGATGACAATTAGTTGCTACGAAAACCAATGCCATATGATCCTATGCAGCCCTTGATTGCTAGCCTTGTTTATTGAAAAATGGATGCATTACTGGCAACTGGCACAGTATGGCATCATCTACATGGCTACACACTTGATAGGAGAGATATGTTGATGTTGTTAACAAATTAAAATAAAGTAACTTTGAACAATGAGATACATATATAGTTGATGTTGTGGCCAAATTAAAATAAAGTCACCAACCACATATATACATACATAGATGTTTAACACAAGTTAACATGCACTAATTCAGAATTAATCTACCACACTGACGTGAATAACTTATACCACTCCCATGAGATCCAACACTCCTCGTTGCAGAACCTAGACCACAAGTCCCATTCTTTAAATCCGATGGGCTCACCGCAGCCACTGCCTGTGCACTGATGATGCCTGTCCTAGTGAAGAACGGGGTGAAGAAAGGGCACTACATCATGTGGCACCATGTCTTGCAACCGCCCGTACACGTCTTGGCAGAACTGTGTACAGGTCTGGTTCTTCCACGGTAGTGTAGCTGGCCCCACTTCGTTAGCACCTTTGAGCTCCCTCAACAGGTGTCGGGCAATGTCATCATTGCCGCCGCCGGTATTGGACCTATAGAGCACGAGGGCGTAGACGTACATACCAAGTTTATAGCCTACCTCGGTGGAGTGCTGATGCCATTCCATTGGCAGCGTCAATGACCTACGGGCTTCCATGAATATGGGACACAAGCTGACAAGGAGGCAGGCCTTCAGGTTGCCTACCCTAGCCAGCCTGGTGGTGAGCAGGGCGCGATAGTCAGCGTCGTAGTAGTAGGGCTCACAGAAACCTTGTCGCTGCAGCACCTAGCGCAGTGGTATGCGCCGGACGACTTCGGCTGTGCCGCACACCCTGCGCATGTCTGAGCAGGTTGCCCGCAGGCTAGCAAGGTCATCCATGGGGCATATGACTACTCAGCGACGCGGCTAGCGATGTCCTCGGCCACCTCCATCGAAGCTGATCCATCATGACATAGCCGAGGAAGAAGCTGAGTCAGAGCGCGCGCGTGACGAACGATGATGGAT